AGTCTTGATACAGTGAATTCATCTTGCCATTGAAGTCCAATATCAGCTTCTACTGTCCCTCTAGGAGTTGTTCTAACATAGCTTCCACCTTGTTGTCTTGTGGAGGTGCAGCTTGATAGGAAGAAGAACCATAGTTCTTGTTGAAGTTGCTGCTATTTTGGTAAGGTTTCTGGAACTCTGTCTTCTAGAACTGAGGCTTGGGTGTGTAACCAGGCGAGCTCTGATTCCCTGTGAAGGTACTCTTCTGATTATTGTTGTTGTAGCCTCTGTTCCATTGCTGATTCCCATATCTTTGACCCTGAAATCCTCCAGCATTTATGAAATTCACATCTTCCTGCTCAATCTCCTCTGGATTTTCGAAAGACTCTACCTCTGCAGGAAAGTGGACTGACTTCTTTCCCACCAAGAGGTTGTGCATACTGTCCAGCTTAGCATTGACTTCGGCAATCTGATTCCCATCATTCAAACCAACTTGTTTTGTCCTCTGAAAATCTGGATTCTTAGTGCTGTTGCTGCAGACTAAGTTTTCAATCAGTGTTATTGCAGCTTCTGGAAGGTTGGTGTTGAAGTTCCAATTACTAGCAGCATCCAGCGCCACTTGATACTTCCAGTCAATGCCTCTAAAGAAAATTTCAAGCAGCTGCACCTGACTGAAACCATGACGAGGACAGTCCTTTTGATAAGACTTGAATCTCAGCCAAGAAGCTTTAAAAGCTTCAGTTAGACAATGGGAGAATGATGCAATTTTTGTCCTCAGGTCCTCTGCTCTAGCATCATCATAGAAATTTTTCAGAAAAGCATTCTTGGTGCTCTCCCAAGTGGTCAGCGAACCAGGCTCCAGTTGCTTCAGTCAATAAGCAGCATCTTCTCCAAGTGAGTAAGGGAAAAGCTTGCAAAACAGAAAGTCATAGCAAACTCCAATAGCTTTGACACTTGAAGCCAAATCCTCAAACCTCTCAATATGATCCATAGGATGCTCATGAGGTAAGCCATGGAAAGATTCTGTCCCACCAGTTGATAATAAGCAGGCTTGAGCTCAAAATCATTCCTTTGGAAAGCAGGAGGGCGGATTGCAGCTCTGTTGGCATAGAACTGATCAGGTCTGTTGTAACCCCTAGAGTCCTCTGAACAAAACGTCCAGCAGCGTTGTTACCAGCAGCAGGAGCTCCAACATCTTGTGCCACTGATTGAACTGCCTGTTTTACTATGACATTCCCATCTTGATCCAGTCTCTGCCCTTCTTCATTCCTCCTGTTTCCCTCTCTGTCAACCAACTGACCTTCTGCATCTTCAACCAAGATCAGTGGAGTAACCATTCTAGACTGTTTCTTATTTTTCCTGATGGTCCTCTCCAACTTAGCGAGTTCGTCGATGCTCAAAGTCACAAGGTCCTTCTCTTTGTTGCTTTTGGTACTGTGATTAAGCATACACCTGAAACCAGCACAAAGAAAAGTAGCAGAAAGTTAGTAAACAAATTAAAACTTAGACAAAATCCCAATACTAAAAATCAATAGGCAGCTATTACTCACCGGCAACGGTGCCAAAAACTTGATAGGGCTCAGGTTTTACCCAAATATTTTACAACTGCAAGTGCACAGCAAAGCAGTTGTAGTATACAGGGTCATCGAATCCCAATGGAGTAAGTAAACTACACTAACAGTTATAGATTCGGACTAGGCTAAGCAGTATATAATAAATGTAATACGAAATAGCTAAAATAATAAAAGCAAGCGAAATTTGATTGATCTAAGTCTCTGAAGACTAAAAGCGCTAAGTCAGGACAATTCACATGTTGAATCCGAGAATGTATAATGCATGAAATCAGGAATGAATAAGAACCGTCTTGAACATGAATCGGAAATATATAACTAGTCCATTCTCATTGCAGAAGTTAACTATATCTAAATCACAGAGTTTCAAATCTCTTTGCAAACTCAACCTAAATATGCAGTAATGATCAAGTTCGATTGTTCACAATACTCATAAGCCAAATCTCTTTGCACTAAGTCGTTTTGCTCATCTAATGCTAGATCAGGTTATAAATAATGCTCTCACATCTATTAAACAACCTAGATTTCGAATTTCCAGATGATGTGTCTAAGAAAATCGGTTTTAAAGCAAGCAGAGAAGAAGAACCAAAAGATATTCCTAACAGTTAGCGATTTCTACAAACTCATCATCAACCCTTGAAAAGTCCTAACTTAACTAGCAGATTACTCAGACATGATCATGGAATCACAAAGCATAGCTGAATAAAATTGCATTAAAGAGAAAGAGTAAAAGGTAAAGGGGTTCGAAATCTTCTCAAAAGAGTACAGGATGTAACTCCCCAAAAAGCTCTGAATAAATCTCTCTCTAAAGCTCTCTGAATTCTAAAATCTAAGATCCAAGCCAACAGTGGCTGAAAACCTAATATATACAAGCTAAAACACGAGCTGGGGCCTTTTTGCAAATACTGGAACTTCTGGGAAAAACCTGCAGATAATCCTCCATCTTTTAAAAACAAGCCATGATCCTTCCCATCTACGGGTGACGAGCGTCACCCTTGAGTGGTAACGAGCGTTACCCAACTCTGTATTCGCATTCCGAGTTGCACACTTCGTGGCTGTATCTTGCAATGCTCCAAAAAGCTCCATAATCTCCAATTGTGCTCCAAACATGCTATAACCTGCATAGACTCTACTAGGACTCTAAAAAGACCAAAAAGACTCAATAAAAAGGACTTATACCATGGTTATAAACCATAAAAACCATGATATATCAAAGAAGAAGCTTCTCTAAAAATATGATCAAGTGTGGAGAGTGAAGGAAGAGTGTTGAGAAAAGGGTAGCTAGGATTGGGTTTGGTTTGGGTTAGAGTTTGTGGTTTAGACCAATTTAGGTATTGGGTAGATAGTGATCTGTCCTTGTATGCATAAGTTGTGCTTCCCTTTAACATTATGCCTACGCTCATTCCTTTTTGAGAGAAACCCTTGCATTTGAACCCACATTTTGATGAGATCATTTTCATCTCATGACCTTATCCCTTAGCCAAATGATTGCACTTCATTTGTTTAAACATGATTCATTGGTTACAAAGTTTAACTGAATGTTGATTGATGTGAGCATTTGACTAAGCTGAGCTAGAGATCATTTTGAAACTGGATAAGCATGACTAGGTTCTTTAATGTATGACTGATTATGATATGCATCTTACAATTAGGCACTTGGACAATAATTTCACTTCTTTACATTAGTACTTTTGGATTTAAGTGCCCACCTTCAAACCTCACTCCCTTCTTATCTTAGTTTGTTTGCTTGAGGACAAGCAAACGGCAAGTGTGGGGGTGTTGATATCTCCACTATTTATACCATTTTAGCATGCATTCATCACTATTTTTGGTCTTTTCACATGCATATTTTACTTGTTTTTATCCCATTTGCATACATTTAGTAGTTAGTGTAGTTCTAGGTGCTGCATAGCATTTTGTTTACATTTGGAGTTTTATTTAGGTACAAGAAGATGTTTGGAGACCAAGTGATGCAATGGATGTGAGCTAGGAGTGGAGCAAGGAGAAGAACAAAGGCGAATGGACCAATATCGAACAGGATATCGATGTAGCTTGGCCGATATGATGTGTATCGGATTGGATATCGAGGGCTTCATGTTGATACAAAAGAAGCAAGGCGTACATAGGAGTATATCGACCAGGAGAGACCTCGATACACCAAGATGAGTTTGTACCAGGCAGTGTATCGGGCATCAAAGCCGATACACCAGAGACATGAAAGTATCGAAGAGCATATCGACTTAGGTGTGCTCTATATGCCTTAACTAAAAGGCTATTGTATCGAAGTCTATACCAAGGAGGGTCAAGCCAAAACACCCCTGAAGCCTGATGTATCGATCACCGTATCAACCAAGACCACACTGATACACCCTCAAGGAGAGCCAATATCGATGTGTGTATCGACTGAAGAAGTCGATATGGTCCAGCCGAGTCAGCTAAAAATCAGGTTTCTCTTGGTTTACTAGGGGTTTCTAAGCCTCCCTATAAATACTTAAGCCTAAAATGTTTAGGCAACAAGTTCCATTCTAATTTTTTTTGTTCTAAGCTTAAAAACCTTTCTCTTTTGGGTTATCTTTGTAAGACTTGCTTGATTTAGTGAATTTGTGTGTTTCTCTTTATATATTCTTGTCTATTCTGCTTTCTAATCATGCTTAGCCATTATTTCTCTTTGAAATCTGTGGTTTTGATCATGACTAGTAAGTAGTCCTCTTTGGGTTTAAGATGGGATATATTAGAAGGGTTTTAGGATTAGATTAGTGATGACTTGAACTTAATATGATTGTCTTCTCTCTATTAGATGTGCTTAACACTAGATTTGTTTTGGCCAAGCTTGTTTAGTATCCTTGCTTTCTTTTATGCCTAGTAAGTGTTTGATGAAATGCTGCTTAGTCTTTTAGATGATTTGTTTATCTTAGCCTAAGAGATTAGATGTCTAAGGAACATTTTGGCTTTGTAGGATTGGATTTCTGTTTGAATGCTTGTTAATCATCTGTTCTTTAATGAAAATTTTCTCGAATATGTGCTTAGAAAAGTGATTAGTACCCAAGAAATTGGGCTAGTTATAGCTGTTAATCATATGCTTAGAAGATAGGATTGTTTGAATGGTTTTTGAAGCATCACTAGTTTGATTATAATCCCCTCTTAGTCAATAACCCCCATCTTAGGTCCTTGCTTTTATCTGTTTGAATCTCATATTTCGAAATTGCATTCCTTAGTATTGATTAGTTTAATCACTAGAGTTTGATCACACTTGTTATCTTGATTTGGCTTAACTTGAGTGAACTGTTGCATTCTTAGTGTCTTACTTGCCCATTTGGATTGATACCTCGCATATTACAATGACATGAGTGTATGTGGGAATTGATTAGAGGTCAAAACCCTACATCACTACATGACCTTCTTTGGGTTCTTAGATTAAAGCTTTGCACTCTCTCTCTGAAGGGGTCAGTTATGATTATGCTCTTACCATCTTTTATCGTCGTTTATGTCTCGGGAAAGTTACATATACATGCACACTACTGTAGATATTCGGGTTCATTGACGTGGAGAAGGCCGGATCAATCACTTTCAGACAGGTAATTTCAAGGGATCCCTCTACAACGTAACATGTGGTATATGATTCAGTCGTCTTCATGGACAAACACACCGTTTATAAAAATTCGTAGCATGTGATCCCTAATGTATCTTTTTCTTCCAATGATTGGTCTGCAGTTCTTGTTTGCCTCGGCTCATGTATCGGCATAAACACTTTTTCAGCAAATATGCGAGCGATCATTCTCACATTGTAACGCAGATGGAGATGGCTATATCTCCATTCAAGTAGATTTAATTCTTCACCTCTTTTATCATATTTGCTTATGGGTTCTTATGACTTACTCTATTATTTATCTTTGGCTCAGCTAGGAGATGCACTGAAACATAGAATCCCAAACTTGAACAAGGACGGGGTAAAGTGTACATTGATTCACCCATCTATTGAAATTCAAATCCAAATCTCTTTTACTTGGAAAGATCTACTTGAATGTACATTTCGTTAGACGAAGACAAAGATCAAAGAATAAGCAAGAACGACTTCTTGTCCTGCTTAAGAAAAAGCCCTCTTCGCATAGCTATCTTCCCAATCGAAGGTACAAACACCGACTTCCTTATATGTTGAACATGTACTTAATTAAGGAATTGGTCATATATACGTGATAGACTTTTATGGGGTTGCTCATGAACATAACAGAGTTTTTAGCAACAAATATCTCTTTTGTTGCCTTTATAACAAAAAGTACAATAAATTATTTGGTTTTTGTTGTAAAGATACATTAAATTATTTTTAAGCTTCATTTATACATTTTCAATAAAAATCAAATTATCTTCCATATATTTTTTTCCTTTTAAATTTAATCTTAAATAGAGTTTTGTTTAATGTTAAAACTCAACACATTTAAATTCTATATGTGGTTTCATTACTTATTGATTTATTTTACTAATAGATTTAGTTTACTAATTTCACTTTGAAAATTAGATAAATACACAAAATAAAATATTTAAACTCATCAAATATCTATTAAGAAAAATACTTGCGTGTAAACGTTGAAATTTCGATAAACACAATTTTTTAAAATAATTGTAAGTCCATATATAGTAGACGAATGTAATAAAATATTATCACCTTCCATTTAATATATAATAGTTTTTCATCAATTTTTTTCAAGTCTTATTACTAATAAATATAGAATTAAAACTAAAATTTGTTAAATGATACACACATAATAATATAGAGTGATCAGAAAAATTTAACCCAGGTTAAAACAAATTAGGAGTGTTTAAATAGATGAAAAAAGTTTTCTTCTTTTTTTTGCTAAGTTTAAGAAAAAACATTTAAAAAATTATTTAGTATGAGAAATTTAAAAATAAATATAAAAACAACATTTAAAAGTATAAATGAAAGAAAATGTAGATAAATTTAAACAATATTTATGTATTACTAGAGTTGATAATTATAATAAAAAATCATTATAATATTTAAAATAAAATATTATATTAATTTTATATTAAAAAATATATTATAAAATGTGAACCCGTAAGCAAGGGAAAGACGGAGAACACGTCCTTCACAAATGATGGAAGTAAAAGTATTGAGCACATAGTAGATGTAGAAGATATTCCTCCCTCTACCACACGCTAATGTACCCCGTAATTTATTGAACATTTTTTTCAGTAAAATAATAATATTTAAGAACCATTCATTGATATTTTCTAATAGAGTAACTTTGATCGAGATTATCAATATTTTACTTTTATCATTTGTGAAATATCATTGAATGTTCTTCAATGAGATATCTTCAAAATTGATAACAAAAAAGGATATATTCGACTTCCACTTATAAATTTAAATATCTCAATAAAAATTATATTCTATTATAAAAGTGGTGATAATTTATCATGGTACTACTTTATGGACACTTGTCTAATTTATGTAATAAATAGACATTAAACTTGATCATTATTTTCATCATCAAAATACATGTCATTAGCTTCCTATATTTGTGAAAGCTGTTTGTGTAATTTCTCCACTACAAATAAGTGATTATAGATGACCAAGTAAATAACACAAGTTGTAAACACACAATAAAAAATGTGAATAAAAATGTTTCCATTTTTTCTCATTATAATGAAAGTGTTTGACTCCCTTTAATATTTAACACGTTATGAACACGAATAGCTCTACTCAAAAATTTTAGAGGTATGATTTAAATTATGTTTTTGAATTCATATAAATTCATATATTATTTATTTATGGAGTGGTTGATTATATCTGCTCCTTATTTAAATTATGGAGTGGAAGGATAAGTCTCCTCTTATATCATTATTAAGTACAGAGTGGATGGTTAAGTCTCCTCCTAATTTTTCATGAAGTGGGAGTTTAAAAATCCCATCTTTATTACTTTTAAATTATTGTGACTCCTCATATTGTTTTAATTTATTACTTTTAAATTATTACTTTAAATTACTCTTTTAAATTCTGCTTTTATTATGATTCAAATATTCAAAGTTTTGCAAAAAAATGTTTTTTATTAAATTAAATAAGTTAAGATTTTGTTATTTAGAAATCATGTCAAACTTGACAAAGCTCGAGATCGCCGCCCTTGAATTATGTGGAAAGAATTATATGACTTGGGTGGTAGGTGAAAAATTGCATCTAAAAAGAAATCGTCTCTTGAACACCATCGATAAGTCAACAACGACTACAGATGAGAATAAGGCAAAGGCCATGATATTCCTATACCACCACATCCATGATCGTTTAAAGGATGAATATGATATCTCCATTATTTATACCATCTTAGCATGCATTCATCACTAGTTTTAGTCTCTTAACATGCATATTTTGCTTTTTGTTGTCCCATTTGCACACACTTAGAAGTTAGTGTAGTTTTATGAGTTGCATTGCATTTTGCATACATTTGGAGTTTTATTCAGGTACTAGAATGAGTTTGGAGACTAAGTTGTGCAATGGATGTGAGCTGGGAATGGAGCAAGGAGAAGGACAAGGTTGGATGGGCCAATATCTAGCAGGATATCGATGCGATCTGATCGATATGGAGCACACCGAGGTGAATATCGATGACTCCACGTCGATACAGAAGGAGCATGATGTACAAAAGCAACATATCGACAAGGATGACCTCAATACACTAAGGAGGATTCATACCGATCAATGTATCGATCACCCAAGTCGATACACCAGAGACAGGACAATATCGAAGTGTTATATCGACATGAAGCTGCTCCATATGCCTTAGGAAAAGGGCAATTGTATCGATGTCTACACCTGGAGAGTCAAACCGATACACCCTTGAAGCCTCATGTATCGATCACCATATCGACCAGGAGCATATCAATACAAGCACAAGAAGACCTAAAATCGATGTCTGTATCGATGTATGAAGCCGATATGGTCCACCCGAGTTTGAATGGTTTTTGAAGCATCACTAGTTTGATTATAATCTCCTCTTAGTCAATAACTCCCATCTTAGGTCCTTGCTTTTATCTGTTTGAATCTCATATTTCGAAATTGCATTCCTTAGTATTGATTAGTTTAATCACTAGAGTTTGATCACACTATTTATCTTGATTTGGCTTAACTTGAGTGAACTGTTGCATTCTTAGTGTCTTACTTGCCCATTTGGATTGATACCTCGCATATTACAATGACATGAGTGTATGTGGAATTGATTAGAGGTCAAAACCCTATATCACTACATGACTTTCTTTGGGTTCTTAGATTAGAGCTTTGCACTCTCTCTCTAAAGGGGTCAGTTATGATTATGCTCTTACCATCTTTTATCGTCGTTTATGCCTCGGGAAAGTTACATATACATGCACACTACTGTAGATATTCAGGTTCATTGATGTGGAGAAGGCCGGATCAATCACTTTCAGACAGGTAATTTCAAGGGATCCCTCTACAACGTAACATGTGGTATATGATTCAGTCGTCTTCATGGACAAACACACCATTTATAAAAATTCGTAGCATGTGATCCCTAATGTATCTTTTTCTTCTATTGATTGGTCTGCAGTTCTTGTTTGCCTTGGCTCATGTATCGGCATAACCACTTTTTTCAGCAAATATGCGAGCGATCATTCTCACATTGTGACACATATGGAGATGGCTATTTCTCCATTCAAGTATATTTAATTATTCACCTCTTTTATCATATTTGCTTATGGGCTCTTATGACTTACTCTATTATTTATCTTTGGCTCAGCTTGGAGAAGCGCTAAAACATAGAATCCCAAACTTGAACAAGGACGAGGTAAAGTGTACATTAATTCACCCATCTATTGAAATTCAAATTCAAATCTCTTTTACTTGGAAAGATCTATAGCCTAACAGGTTGGGTATATCTCATGTTACAGATTCAAGGGATGTACATTTCGTTAGACGAAGACAAAGATCAAAGAATAAGTAAGAACGACTTCTTGTCCTGCTTAAGAAAAAACCCACTTCGCATAGCTATCTTCCCAATCGAAAATACAAACGCCGACTTCCTTATATGTTGAACATGTACTTAATTAAGGAATTGGTCATATATACGTGATAGACTTTTATGGGGTTGCTCATGAACATAACAGAGTTTTTAGCAACAAATATCTCTTTTGTAGCCTTTATAACAAAAAGTACAATAAATTATTTGGTTTTTGTTGTAAAGATACATTAAATTTTTTGTAAGCTTCATTTATACATTTTCAATAAAAATCTAAATACCTTCCATATATTTTTTTCCTTTTAAATTTAATCTTAAATAGAGTTTTGTTTAATGTTAAAACTCAACACATTTAAATTCTATATGTGGTTTCATTACTTATTGATTTATTTTATAGTTTACTAATTTCACTTTGAAAATTAGATAAATACACAAAATAAAACATTTAAACTCATCAAATATCTATTAAGAAAAATACTTGCGTGTAAACGTTGAAATTTCGATAAACACAATTTTTCAAAATATTTGTAAGTCCATATATAGTAGACGAGTGTAATAAAATATTATCACCTTCCATTTAATATATAATAGTTTTTCATCATTTTTTTTCAAGTCTTATTACTAATAAATATAGAATTAAAACTAAAATTTGTTAAATGATACACACATAATAATATAGAGTGATCAGAAAAATTTAACCCAGGTTAAAACAAATTAGGAGTGTTTAAATAGATGAAAAAAGTTTTCTTCTTTTTTTTTGCTAAGTTTAAGAAAACAAATTTAAAAAATTATTTAGTATGAGAAATTTAAAAAATAAATATAAAAACAACATTTAAAAGTATAAATGAAAGAAAATGTAGATAAATTTAAACAATATTTATGTATTACTAGAGTTGATAATTATAATAAAAAATCATTATTATATTTAAAATAAAATATTATATTAATTTTATATTAAAAAATATATTATAAAATGTGAATCCGTAAGCAAGGACAAGACGGAGAACACGTCCTTCACAAATGATGGAAGTAAAAGTATTGAGCACATAGTAGATGTAGAAGATATTCCTCCCTCTACCACACGCTAATGTACCCCGTAATTTATTGAACATTTTTTTTCAGTAAAATAATAATATTTAAGAACCATTCATTGATATTTTCTAATAGAGTAACTTTGATCAAGATTATCAATATTTTACTTTTATCATTTGTGAAATATCATTGAATGTTCTTCAATGAGATATCTTCAAAATTGATAACAAAAAGGATATATTCGACTTCCACTTATAAATTTAAATATCTCAATAAAAATTATATTCTATTATAAAAGTGGTGATAATTTATCATGGTACTAATTTATGGACACTTGTCTAATTTATGTAATAAATAGACATTAAACTTGATCATTATTTTCATCATCAAAATACATGTCATTAGCTCCCTATATTTGTTTGAGTAATTAAACTCCTTTTTGTGAATTTAGCAACATTAAGCATTGTCTTTTGTTCAAACCATGGTTCTCATTTTTGTTTTGAGAATTTTGTCTTTTAGGTACCATGGGGAGAACAACTAGAAGTGTCGCCAACAAGGAGGTGGAGAAGCATGAGAAAGCCAAGGGAAAGGCTAACGAAGTGGGAAGTCCAAGCGCTAAGGCCCAAGGGAAAAAGAATGTTGATGCTGGCCCTAGTGAGAAGGTCTTGCCTAAGAAGAAAAGCTCAACCACTCCTGCTCAAAGACAGCTCTATGATCTGTTCCAAAAGGTAGATGTGAGGCCTTCAAGGTACCTCTATGTGCCAACAGTGAAGACCTTGGGGATACATGAGGATTGCGAATCTCTCATAGAGGCAATGGAGCTGTCCAAGCTTGTGGGAATCCCTCATACAGCCAACAAGGAGCAATTGTTTCAGTTCTTTGCAACCTTTGAAGTTACCTTCTATGAATTTGGAGAAGAGACTCCTGAAGAGGATGGTAATGGTTTCATCACATTCAGAGTTTCAAGAGGGAATTATAGGATGTCCTTCTCAGCCATTGAAGAAGCTTTTAGGTTCACTTATGGAAGCTCAAGAGGGCAGAATTTGGCGATTGGCAAAGATGAGATGATCAGTCTTTGGGATCATGTAGCAAGAGGCGCTTACAGGCCAGGAAGAAGCAAGGCTTCTTTGATTAGGAACCCAGCCATCAGATATGTGCATAAGATCTTGGCGCATAGTCTGTTTACAAGAAAGTAAAGTGGCGCTGTTGAAGGTGGCGAATGGGAGCTCATTGACCAAAGCCTGATCAACATCTTGGACTACACAAGACAAGGAGTGGAGCTTAAGGGAACATATGCAACAACTGGAATGGCTACCATCTCCATGCAGCAGCTCCTTGTCATTAAGCATTGGATGTCAACCAATGATGAAAAGGCGCCAAAGATCTATTATGGAGGACTTGTCTCTTAATTATTGGATGCTGCAGGACTAGGACCACCAACAGCTAAGGTAGAATGGTTGGATATGCAATATCTGAAGAAATCAAGGTTCCTTGGAGAAAATGTGGGTGACAAGTTCATCTATTACTTTATCCAAAAAGATAACACAACTGCAAAGGTGCTCCTACCAAACCAGCATCTCACATCCTTCTCCAATCCAGACAATATAGGTTTTCTCATTCCCCAGCACTTGCTTTACCAAGAAGGCACTTCAACCTCTCACCATCACCAAGGCGTCAACATTCCTCTTCCTCAAGGAGACTATCCTCTTGTTGTTTGTGAAGGAGGACAAATGGAAGAAGGAGTTTAAGAAGAGGGAGAACCAAATTCTCCAAGCTACAACAGTGAGGAGTACCACTTCCAACCTCATTATTTGTCTCAACAAGGAGGACCCTTGAAGAACGTTCATGAACACATCAACCTCTGGCAAAGATGGAATAAATGGCAAGATAAAACCATCAAGAATTTGGTGAAAGGAATGAAGAGCATGAAGGCGCAGATCAAGGACCTTAAGAGGAAGTCAAGTGGAGCCTCTAGTTCTGTTCCTCAAGAACATCAAGAAGCTGAAAGTCAAGGAATGGCTAGAGCACCTAGTAGAAGGCGCTTATTTGCTGGTTATGAGGAGATGAGAGCTTGGGTACCACCTAAAGCTTCTGCTCAAGAAGCGCCAAAGATGAGAAGACGGCCAAGGAGGGAGAGCAGCCACAACATTGACATCATGGAGAATCTTTCAGGCGCCTCCTACACCTTCAAACACACCTTCTAAGGTACAAAAAACTCCTCCCTTGTATATACCAGTTTCAGCTTTGCATATTTTCTTTATTTTTACATATCTCTCTCATCTTCTATTACACAATGGGACTGTGTAATTTACGTGTGGGGGAGGGCTTTGTGTATTTAACATTGTGTTCTCTTTTCTTAGTTTTTCTTTGCATTAGAGTCTCATGCATTCATCTAAATGCACTTAAAAATAAACAAAAATCGAAAAAATTTAAACTTTTTGCACTTTTTTGCAAAACACAAAAAATCATATAGTTGCATTCATTTGTTTAAGATTGAGTCTAGTGTTTTCATATAGGACTGCATTGCATTTTCATAGGACACAGTGATGATAATTCCTTGTAAAATGCTAAGTGTTTAGGAATGATTTCAATGTCTAAGGGGTTAAGTGTTTGATGCATCATGAAAATTTAGAAACTAAGGCTGAACCATGTTTTGAATGCTAAATTTGATCCTCTTGTCTCATGTTGAAATCATTTGCTCATTTAAAATCATCTCTATTTATTATAACCATAATTTTGACTTTAGAATTATCATGTTTTTGCAATGAAAAGTGGTTTCATGGATTACCCATATACATATTTGGACTTTATTTCTTCCTTTTTACCACTCTTGCTAGTCCAAATAGTTGATCCTCACCATTAAAGGACAGTTACCACACCTTAACCTTACCCTCCTTTCAAACCGAAACACTATCTTGTGAGTGTGAGACCTATTTTGAATGAACTAAGCATAAAGTGTTAGGTTGGCACTATAAGGATTGGTTGCTATGTAGAACAAGCTCTTCACTTTGAGTTAGACATAGATTAGGATAGTAATTATAGGTCTGGGCGGATTTGACTTTTATGTTGATCTAAAAGAAGAGGATGAGAGAAGTTAGAAGGGGAAAAGGGAATAAGAAAGAGGGGACAAGCAAAAGCTCAGCATGTGTGGAACCAAATAAGCTAAAAACGAGTGGCCATTATGAAGATGGAGTCTCAACAACAATAAAAAAGATGGCTTAAAAGCCTAATGCATCAAAGTGATGAAGCAAAGGAGACTCCCTAATACAAAAAGAAGGCGCCTGATAGGGCTCAGGTTTTATCCAAGTAATTTATTACTGCAAGTGCACAGCAAAGCAGTTGTAGTATATAGGGTTATCGAATCCCAAGGGAGTAAGTAAACTACACTAACAATTATAGATTTAGGCTAGGCTAAGCAGTAGATAATAAATGTAATGCGACATACCTAAAACGATAAAAGCAAGCGAAATTTAATTGATCGAAGACTTAGAAGACTAAAAGCGCTATGTTAGGACAATTCGCAGGTTGAATCCGAGAATGTAGAATGCCTGAAATCAGGAATTAATATGAACCGTTTTGAACATGAATCGCCAATATATAACTAATCAATTCTCATTGCAGAAGTTAACTGTGTCTAAATCACAGCGTTTCAAATCTCTTTGCAAACTCTAATAACCTAAACATGCAGTAATGATCAAGTTCAATTGTTCACAAAACTCCTAAGCTAAATCTCTTTGCACTAAGTCGTTTTTCTCATCTAATGCTAGATCGGGTTATCAATAATGCTCTCACATCTATTAAACAACCTAGATTTCGAATTTTCAGATGATGTGTCTAAGAAAATCTGTTTTAAAGCAAGCAGAGATGAAGAACCAAAAGATATTCCTAACAATTAGCGATTTCTACAAACTCATCATCAACCCTCGAAAAGCCCTAACTTAACTAGAAGATTACTCAGACATGATCATGGAATCACAAAGCATAGCTGAATAAAATTGCATTAAAGAGAAAGAGTAAAAGGTAAAAGGGTTCGAAATCTTCTCAAAAGAGTACAAGATCTATCTCCCCAAAAAGCTCTGAATAAATCTCTCTCTAAAGCTCTCTGAATTCTAAAATCTAAGATCCAAGCCAACAGTGACTGAAAACCTAATATATACAAGCTAAAACACGAGCTGAAGCCTTTTTGCAAATACTGGAACTTATGGGAAAAACCTGCAGATAATCCTCCATCTTTTAAAAACAAGCCACGATCCTTCCCATCTATGGGTGACGAGCATCACCCTTGAGTGGTGACGAGCGTTACCCAGCTCTGTATTTGCCTTCCGAGTTGCACACTTCGTGGCTGTATCTTGCAATGCTCCAAAATGCTCCATAATCTCCAATTGTGCTCCAGACATGCTATAACCTGCAAAGACTCTATTAGGACTCTAGAAAGACCAAAAAGACACAATAAAAAGAACTTATACCCTGGTTAAAAACCATCAAAACCATGATATATCAACTCCCCCAGACTTAGCTTTTGCTTGCCCTCAAGCAAACATCAGCCAAAGAACAGGGTCGAGTTTTGAAAACTGAAACAGTCAACTAAACATCAGGAACAGCACATAGGTTAACACTTTCGAATCCACATACCACAAAGTCAACTTAAGATCAAATTTCAGTCTAATCATCACAAGCTTAGCAAATCTCTCAAATCCAGTTCAAGCTCTTTCAAGAAATCCGAAATCTCTACTGCTAACTCCTTATTTTTATCTAAGTGTGATATCTCATCAAGGTTTTATCATCTCAATCACTTACAGATTCTTTTCCCTTCCTAAACAACTAAACAAAACAATCTCAACACAGCTCTCCTATTTTCTCTTCCCTTGATCTTTTCTTTCTGATATTTTTGATTTTTTTCTAATTGTTAGGAATACGAAACTTGTGATCCTTATGAGGAGACAAGTTCTTGAGTGTGTTCATTATTGTTGTTCCTTGTTAGGAGACAGGGTCATGAA